CCCCCCGCGGCGGTGACAGTCGCCGTGGGCTGCAGTGTTTGGGGATCGCCATGGTGACTCAGGCCGGCAGCCCAGCCCGGCATCGCTCCGCACGGCTCCTCCCAGGCCAGGCGCGTCACAGTGCAGCATCCTTCCCGAAGATGCATCATCCCGAAGCCCAGAGATAAAAATACCTGCCCCCCCCATGGCTGGCGCAGCGAGTGCGGGGGAGGCACAGGCTCTGCGGGGGCAACACTGACACTAGGCCCTATTCTGGGCCCAGGGGGAGGGGGCCCTGTCGTCATGGGGCAACGGCTGCCTCCCCCCCGCTGTGGGCTGGAGGAAGGGGAGACCCCTCCAGCGGAAGGGGGCTGAATTCCACCCCAGAGCAGGTCGCTGGGGACGGGGGCCAAGGCAGGGAGAAAGGGCACTGCCTCCCGCCCACTCCTGTCCTGAAGATGAATGACCTTCCCCCCCCATCACACCCTGGACCCAGCTGGCCGTGCCCCCCACCCACGGGCTCCCTGTGTGCCAGGAATCTGCTGCATTGAGCTCCCAGTGCCAGCAGGGACTTGCCTACTGGCTGGAGACCCCCGCCCTGGCCATCCAGGCAGGGGGGGGCTTGCTTAGCAGGCAGCTGGCTGGGTCTGATCTCCATCCCCAGCCCGGGGTGCTCTGGGGTGGGGGCTGCTGCTGCGAGGCCCCCTCATGCTTCCTCTCCTGTGACTCCAGCTGTGCTCAGCAGCCCCCTCAACCCATCCCGAGGATGGAGGGGGCTCCCCATGCCCACCCTCCCACCCCGGGGCCTGCCCTGCTGGCGGGCGGGCGGGTTGCTCGCAGCCTGTTGCTCCGTGACTCACCCTGCCTCTGTGACTCCATTTCCAGTTCCTCTCTGACCTCAATTCACCTGCTGACGGGGAACTGGGGCGGGACCGAGCCCTGGGAAATGCCTTGCTGAGATGGGGCTGGCGGAGCCGGGCACCTGGGCATTTGCAGGGGCGGGGGACCAGGCTGCGGCTAAGGGGCATCAGCCTGGGTCTGTAGGGGAGAGGTCGGCCCTGCTAGGCCTCCTGCTGCCAGGAGCCACCCAGACACGTGCTGACGTCCAGGAAACACAGAGTAAACTGCCCATTGCCATGGCCACGGCCGCGTGTTTACAGCCGGTGGAGCAGGGACGCTGGCCCAGCCCAGCGGGGTGACAACACCCCCCGCCCCACGCTGTAGGTGTCAGGGAGGAGGATGGCGGGGGACAGGGCTGGCAGAACAGAGCCGGATTGCAAACCTCTTACTCACGGCGGAGAGCGATGGCTCACCTGTGGTGCACGGCGCAGGGCAAGGGAACCGCTGCCGTGAGTCACGGCGCAGTCCTGTGACTGAGGGGCTGGCAGAGGTGCCTCGAGCCCTTCGACCAGGCCCGGGCAAGCTTGGGGGGCCGTCGGTGGCAGTGGCCAGAGGTGGGTGGGCGGCGTTGCCCGTGCCCTGCCTGGCACGCCAAGAAAAGCGCCAACAGCAAGGCAGCTGCTTCGCCTGCCATGCGTGCCAGGGGCGTGTGCGGTGAAATCGCCGAGGCTGGCTCCCAGCCCAGGCTGCAGGCGCTGGGGAGGTTCCCAGGACTCCAGCGAGCTCTGGATGGGGCCTGATGACTGGTGTTGTTCAGGGTTGTGAAGTTCCCGGGGTGGGGGGAAGGGAGCACGAGCCTGGCTGATGCCCTGTCTGTGCCAGACCTGCCCCTTTCCCACGCGGCCAGCTGAGCATTGCAAGTGAGCCCCCACCAAATCGTGAGATCTGGCCAAGCAATCACGAGAGCAGCTGTGAAATCAGGGCAGGTCTCGGTCTTCACTGGCTGATCCCCGGGCTGGGGCCATTGCACCCGGGGCCTGTTCTGCTCTTTCCTACAGCACAAGAGCAAGAAATGAATGTGGCAATTCTCCCACAGTCCCATGACCCTGGGACCGTGGGGAAAACACTGAGACGGAGATAAGCCTGCTGGCCACGGCACAGTTGTGAAATCAGTCTGGAAGCACCAAAATGCCAGATGCTGAAGGGACCAAGTCTTGGGAAATCCCTTGCTCCATGGGACAGGCCTCCCTGGTGCTCCACAGAGATTTGGGGTGGGAGCTGGAGGGACACACAAAACAGCAGCTGTGAAGGCGTGTACCCCCAGGGACGGCCAGAGGGAGCCAGCTGGGACTGGACAAGGGCCCAAGCTCCATGGGAAGAGCTGGGGCCCTTGG